TCCGGCACCAGAGAGTCTGCTGAATTTAAAATTAATGGCCACCAATAAATTACAAGCCTGCTTATGTTTACATCTACCAACATATTATTTACATGTCCATTAGCTTAATATCATTGAGCAAATTAAATAACTAAATTTCAACGCCTACACGAGGCAACATGGCACGTGCATGACCACATAACTTAGCTTCCACATGATTACAAATGTGCACAACAGTGGTTTAATCTGAGACTACGAATACATTAAGGTGTGCAGGTCTCTGTCTATACTATCTATATTCTAGAGGTACGTTTGAAGTGGAAAGATCATGTGCATAGTACTGTATCACTGCATGTGTGAGCGACATACGGTCTACAGTTACATGTATGTATTTGTGATATTTTTACAAGACCCCAAATTGAGTCGAAATTCAAATGACACCCTACAATAGTTAATACTAAACAGACCAAAATGGTTCCACCAATACATAAATTTCTTAATTGAAGTTGTATTGAAATATTTAAGCATGAGCACAAGCTGTGCCATTGTTATAAACTATTGAGGGTACAAAAAACACAAGAATAAGCACAAGAAAAACACACTCTTGTTCTTCTTACAGTAGGTGGTCCCCCCAAACAACCCCAACCAGCCAAAAATATTTGTAATTACTCTGGGAAAGAGCATAGAGATTATATGCACAGAGATTACATGAGTAGAATTCATGAGTTCATGATGAAAAAAATATTATACTCAATGAGATAACTAGAACACAATTTGCAAGGAAAGTGACTGTAATGAAATGAGCTGCAAGTGAGAAATAATTACTCCATGAATTCCTAAGCCCATTTAAAATAATGACTGACACTATAGGCATGCAATGCATACAGAAAGCAATGCAGCTGAATGCATTTCACTACTTGCTCATCAACAGAATTTTAGCATCTATTGAAAATATTTCACTACTTGTACTTTAACTTTCATTTTCATCTGGGTGATCCTCCATTGGTGCTAAAAGATTATTTTCTTCCAAAATCTGGTCAACATCATCAGCTAAAGGTGTAAAAGACGAGAATTAATAAATCATACCTTAAGAGCCATAATGGGAGGCGCGGTGGCCTCATGGTTAGTGCGCT